TATTCGCGGCGGCTGATGAGATTCGCAACAATCCCATAATTTTTGCTCGAGTCCGTAACAACTTTGATAAACGTGTTAGGTTGTGTTCAGAAAGAAATGGCAATTATTTTGAAAATGTCCTTTAACTAAGTTTTTTGTTTTTTCTCTTTTTGATAATAAATTATTTCCTAGTTTCGTTTTCATTGTACCTCTATTTAATAAAAGTTTCTGCGACATTTAAACAGTTTTCCTTTTCCATTTTCGCCTAAAATCAACTCTTGAAAAGATACATAATTAAATAGGAAGAAAAATACGACATTTTTCCAATTTTTTTAACATATTGTACCGCCAAAAGTTAAGCCCACGTTTTTTTTTATGCGCATAGAAAAATTTTCATTTCTAGTGATATTTTTAAGCCAACAAGCTAAAATTCTCCGTGGATATACGATTCACCCAAATATGAACTCTTTGAAACAGATACCTACCGTCTGGACTATGTGAGATTACTTCGAAATCAGTTCAGTTAACATCTGGGTTATGGTTAGTTTGGTCACTTTGATGAACACTACGGGTAACTATAAAATCTACCAATAATACATAATATTTACTAATATTTATGACATTATTAGTAAATATATTTAAATCTAAAAAGCTTTCCTTATTACATTTTCTTCTCCTTTACATACACAATAAGAAATGTAGTAAGGGTAAAAATGTCTACAACAAAGAAATTTCATTTTTTAAGGATGAACTGAAAATTATTATTATTATTATTTATTTATTTATTTACTTTAAAATATTGTAGTTACGAACAATTACACTTTGAAATGGTTTGTCCTTGTAATTTACTTTTTACGTTATACTGATATACTCAGTTCATGAACTTAACTTTCAACATAAAAACTAACTATATAACACGTTAACTTGCGTTTTGTCAATGTATTGGGGTCCTAATAATGATATACATAATTGGTTAATTCCAATGTTTTTCTATATTAGATGCATGCTAGGGAAAGAAAATAGAAATATCAAGTCATATTTCAATTATCTAACAAAAACTCTTCAATGTTAAAAAAGACAAGCTACTCTAGTGGAAGAGATGATAGCACTGAAGTGAGGCAGTTTTGAGTGCAACCATCAGTTTAGATGAGTGACCGGCTACTCGAACTGCATAATGAAAGTTAAAAGGGCCATTTTCACATAATGAATAATGCCACTTTGAAACCTAGTTGCATGCAAAGTGATCACAATCAATATTTACAATGGCAAATGTGTAATCCTTTTATCGAATATAAACATATTCAATATATCATATCATGTCAGTTTTAATAGGAATTATTTGTACATATTTATTTTTTATTTGATAATTGAAACTAAAGAGATAGAAAATAAAACATTAATGGAATAATTTTGAAAATGGCAATAAAAGAGCCAGAAAAGTAGATACAGAAAGCACACGCTTAATATTCTAGGCGTACAAAAGATAATTCTTAAAAAATTTCCAAACTGCTGAGCGCCTTATATTTGATGTGTGAGCAATCTTCTCACAGCTGGTTGTAAAATAATACCATGGAAAACAGGTTGCAATTTTTAACTCCTTTCAAGGGTCGCAGATGATTAAAAATGTAGTTATAGTTAAGTCTTTGGTAAGATAAAAAAACATCCCAAATTGCAACTTAATTTTAATCTACTCCTTTCAACGGATAATTTCATTAGCAGACGTTTTTGGGAATAAGTTTATATAAAAGAAAACCCTTAATTTTTGGCAAGCAATAGCTCTTTAAAATTTTTCCCAATATTAAAGTAACACCCTTTATTAAGTCAAGTTGGAAAATATTTCTTGTAGTTTGTGACATTTGTCCTAAGTTCAAAATAGTAAAAATAATAAATAATAGCTAGGGATTGGAAATGTTAGGGCGGCTGCAATGTGGTACAGGGTTCGCTGTAGGCCGGGTTCTCTTTTATGTAATTTTATTCAAACAAAAAATGACTTGGAACTTACCATAAAATTTATAGGTATGGTACGTAATAAAAGTTTATTTATATTTACTAATGGTGGTGAAGCATCAACTACTTTTTTGTAATCCCTCTATCCGCATCATTGTACAATAACACCCCCGATCTGAAGATTCGCATCGATCAATTTATTCGATACGTATCTAGCGACACCTTCATGTCTGCCCTGTCGGCCTGGCGGGTCAGTGAACAATGCAGGTTTTTTGCTGTGGGACGTTAATTATGCATTTCATTATCGTTTGTGCGTATGTGAGTTTGATGCTTTGCTTGGTCGAGTGTATGGCAAATGTTTTTCTGGCAGTCAGTAGCACCGTGTATAGTGAGCATAGAGCGGCACACGGTTTGACCATAGATTTAGCTTATTTCTGCACAATGCTTATTACCACTTACGAGCATAATATGGATTACTACTATTTATTTATTTATTTGATTGTCGCCACGAAGTTTCCGATGTCTAATAATAACATATCGACAATCCGATCTGAAAAAAACTTGATTATTTCTTATGAGATTTGTAAAAAGTAAAGTTCACTTTTCACTACAATACAATGTTTGTAATATAAAAAAAATAAGCTAGATTTTGCATACAGTCCGTACGATATTTGTTGACAGAATTCCAGGAAGACCCCTGCGTCACTTTCTTGGAATTAACCGCATTTGACACCTGAGATAGAAAGACATTGTCTGAAAATTTTTAGGCACGCCCCTGCCGCCGTAAATTGTTGCAGTAGGTCGGATAACAGAACTTTATTGGCTTATTCTTCTCTTGGCATTCTATTTCAACAAATATCGTACGGATTGCGGTACGCAGATGCTTCAGCAGAATTTAAAAAAGGTCATAAATTTCACCTAATACTTGTTTATCAAAATATGTCTTACATTCAACAAGGAATTCAGAACTGCAATAATATACAGAATATTCCAAATTAGGTAACACCCAAAAGAAATAGAACACAATATGCGTGAAGAAACTGTGATCTGATGCTGCTTTTGTTTGGAGTACCTATTTTATTTTATATTACCAAAGCTGTGGAACAATCTCTTTTATATGGGACACCATATGTGTATTTTCCAAGGTATTATTGATTTTTAAGAAAAATCATTAAATACATCAAATTTTTATTTTTGAAATAAAATTTCCCCACCTTCTTCACTTAACAATAGCGCTCATTCTCCATTCCTTTTATTGGAAAGGTGATCACGTGGTACTTTTTTAATAAAAAACTTTATAGTTATTCCATTAGCTCTCTTTTATGTCTCGAATAATAACAGAGTTATTGTACACGCCGTATACGCCACAGTAGTGTTACCCTGTGTAATTTATTAAAGAAATGCTATGATGATTTGTCTCTAAATCCATAATTTCGCCTCAAATTAAATTTTTACTGATGACTTGAATTTTCAAATGTAAATTTAAAATTCTTGTCGTTACAACTTTACGAATAGCTAGGCATGTTTTGACGTTATCTACTTAAATGGTTAGATTTCTTGTCCGTGATTCATTGCGTAAAAAATTTCCTGATACGCCTGAAAGCATACTCCCTCTCTATTCCACCGAAAATGTTTTTCGTTATCAACATCTTTATCAACTTTTATGGCAGTATCAATCATCGACTTCGTGTCAACAATTCACTGTGAATTTGTCATGCTATATATTTTATGGTAAACACAACGTTATCCAAAAAACAGATCAAAAATATACTTACTGACTAACGTGACAAATGGCAATTTATTTCTGTCGAAAAAAGTGGCGCTACAGGCATCCTCTCGCCGCTTAGTGTGAGATCCAATTTGTACTTCGATGACGTGGGCATCTCTCCGATAAAAAGACATGCAGTTGTACCCATTCTGGCTGCAAGAAATCGATATCATATTTTTAAATTGAAGCTGTGGTTATATCTGAGAAAGAATTTTTCACAACTAAACAATTGAATAAAATAATTGAATGGTATAAATAATGGATTTTTCCTTTCGAAAATTATACTGGGTGATATTTAAAGTATGTAGAAACAAATAATTCTTAGAAATAAAAAATTAAATAAAACATTTAATAATCGATAACAAAAAAAAGAAGTATAAAAGAACATTTAACAGACATAAGCAATTAAGTATAAGGAGCATTCCACGTCAAATCATTGAGATCGTGTAGAGTAGCTTTCATGAATTTTTTCAAATTTTTATTTCAACCCCTCAAGAAGTTATGAGCATTTGAATATTTTGGGCAAAAAAATTTTAAAATATCTGTAACCTGGCAAATACTGAAGATATCAAATACTTTTTTTCATTTTGTTACTTTTGAGATGTAGTTTTATCAAAAAAAAAATATAAAAATATTACATTTTTAGTTTTTTGAGTTTTGTTTATTCTGAAACCTAAAAAGTGCTTTTTGAAAGGGTGGGGTATTTTTTTTCGAAAATCTCAAAAAAAATCGTCTTTCCATATGCAAATTTATGAGACAAGTTCCTAGAGTGGGATCTTTTTTATTCAATTATTTTTCGAATTAAAAGAAATTTTTTACAGATAATGTACGTTATTAAACCAAATTTTATACAAAAGTAAATCGCGATGACTAATTACCAAAAATACCAGATTTTTAAAACTACTTGTACTAATAATAGGTATCATCATTATTAAATATCTAAATTAGTAAGTAAATATTCCGATTTTTTGTTCAATATTAATAAGTTTGTTTTCGATAATTAATGCCATAATATGTGATATTTTTGACCATTTGTAATCAGTGAAAACATTTATATATAGATAGGTTAACGACAAAATAAAAAACATCAATTTTTCGAACACTTGACGGATTTTATTTTCTGTATTCCATTAAATATTCCCGCCGCTGATCCAAGCACCACTTCGAAGGAAGTGACTCCTGTAGTTGTTAATTCTCTTATCATATGGGACATTATCGTCGTTGAGCGTGAAAAACCTCCTATGTGGCGTTTAGACTGGTTTTTAGTTTGTAGATGCAATTGGTTGGTGGTCATTTCTTTTAACATTTAATAAATCCTGATATTTAATAATTATAATAACTAGAGAACGGACAATGTGTGACTTTAACCCGAAGAATAGGTCAAATTTTGGTAGAGATGTGTACGCGTTCAAATAGTACATTGTGTAACGAGTGGGGAAAAGTTGCCAACAGCGCCACGAGGACGCAGTTGACGCACGAGCGAAGCGAGTGCGGAAAGCGCCCAAGTGGCGCTATGGCAACTTTTCCGAACGAGTTGCACATACTATTTTCTATCACAGGTGCGAGTCGTTATGGGACCTATAGCATAGGGGGTTAGGTGCACGGAAAGTGCTAGATAGTACAACAGCGTGATGTTATTTTCATAGCGCACTTTCCGTGCACCTAACCCCCTACACTATAGGTCCCATAGCGAGCGCGCGTGATAGAAAATGTATTGTGTATAAACTATGCAAAATATAATTATTATGTATAGCAAATATATCGTGTTATCCTCGCGAAGATTTGTACCCTTTATTTAAAATCCATAAATCATGTGAACAGGTTAAATAACGAGAAAATAATTAAGTTAATTTAGTTCTAAAGAAATGAAATGACACTCGCGCCCATCTCTAGTCTATCCGTCGACATCGGTTGCGTTTATCGCATTCCTATTGGTCAGAATTCAAACTGCAGCCCTGTTATGAATGGAGCGTGAGTTGGACTATTCTATCATGTGCGTCGCCTGAGGCTATTCGTTACATTGACTCCAAATTTCCAATTAAAAAAACGACACTATTTTTAACCGAACTTTATTTAATAAATATGTAGTATACAATTTCTGATTTTCTAAATATTTTATAACGCCTAAAAATGTATGTACCGTGGAATTTTCGTGAATTATCACGTAAATTTCCGATGCATACCCGACACGCCACTGCGTCATGGGTAATGTATCTAGGTTTATGAATGTCATATCTATGTTCAAGGTTAAAGTCACAAATTGTCCGCTCTCTGATAATAACTCTTTGGTAATTTCAGGTTAACGATTAGTTTGCAATAACAATTTTTATTCACCAGGAGCTTTTTGTTATTATTTTAGTTCTTCGCCAGTTCTTTAGTTTTAAACCAAAAACAATAATTTTTTTTTCTTTCTCCTGTAAAAAATTATCATCCATTTGTGCATATAAAATTTTACATTTTTTGCTGAATTCACTATAAAAATTTTGAGGACTTATTAGAAGTTTAATATGCTTTCTTTAATTACGTGTGCAATTTTTCAAATTCATAGTTTTTTTTCTCAATTTGGTGACTTGAATAAAAAACAAATTTGAACTGAAAATATGCTTAAGTATTGAATTTTTTCATATAATTTATTACATACCTATTGGGAAAAAATGTCAAATTTGATTTATACGCATACAACATCTCAAATTTATACCCACGCTTTTACAGTCTTCCACAAATAACAGAACAATATTTTTCCTTTCTCTATACAATCTTTGGACAAACAGAAAAGATTGTAATAATTGATTTTTCCCCAAAAAATAAAATAATAATAATTTTTCATATAATGCTCATATTTTTATAACTGTAACTATAACCGTCATATCCTTTTTTTTTATTAAAACACTAGATTTATGATGAAATTAGATGAACGTTTTTTTTTCGAATTCAAAAATATGAAAATTATTCTAATTATGTACTTATTATTTTATTACAATCAAACATTTTCAAGATATTTAGAATCAAACTTTATTGCTTTAACAAACTACTTGTTTCATGTTTATTTAGTTTAGTATAATAGTTTATTTTTATTAATTTGTTCAATCATCTTTTAAGAAATATATTTACACATATTTAAAAAAAATGATCATAAATCAGGAATACGAATACGAATTTGTTAAGATAATATATCATATACGCATTCCCAAATAAATAATTCCCTAAATCAATATTTTTTTTAGTAAATGTCCATAGTAATTGTATATATCCCATAGTTTAAAAGATATTTGAAGTCAGAAGCAAAAAGTAGAACGGAAGGAAACTAATAGCCAACATTTTGGAAATCATCGCAGAAAGCAGTATTATTCAGAAATATGCGCATTTAACTAAATGTTAGAGAAAGAGATGTCACTATTTTTTTGACATTAATAGAGAGACTTTAGTAATCGAATTTCATGAAATTCCTTATCCTTCTTATTTAGGAATTTAAACTTCAATACTGTGGCCTCGTGTATTCACTCAAGTTTTGATGAATAAAATGTTTTATATTTCTAGAATATTTCTAGAAATACAGTGTGATTCACAACTTATCCGAAAAAAATTGAGAATAGATGCATCATGAAAAATTGAGTCAAAATCATAGAAAAAAAATTGGTAAATTCCTTATAGTTTCCGAGAAAAAAATTATTGAAATTGTAGTATGTAAAACCCTTACATTGCCAAGTGTATAGCAACTCGGAGTTGATAAATATCGTTTTAATTTATGGTGAAGCAAGACAACCTTTGTGTTATAGTGAAGTATTTGTGTTATGGTGAAATAAGACAACATTTTTTGTGTTATGGTGAAGCAAGGCAAAATTTGTGTTAGTTCGCAGAAACTGGGTACGACAGGCCCACATGTGTTTACACGTCGGCGGACAAAATGTTGAGCAGTTGTTGTAACATCAGGTCTGTCAAATTATTATACTAGTATTAATTCAAACCACAAATTAATTTTATTAATTAATAATAACAATAACGGCTAAAGCAGTTGAATTTGCTGATATAAAATAGGTGCTATAAAATTCTATTAATTTTTTTTCATTGGGAAAGAAAATTCCTTCAATTTCTTCTCCGTTAATTTTTATTACACTTTGCCGTTATGTCGGTTTACGATTGCATGCTTTGCCTTGCGCAAGGTTTTACAATGGATCAGTTTCTAGTGCCGTGCAGAAGTGTATTTTTAAATAATTTTCGAACTGCTCTTTTTAATTTTTTTTATAAAATTGTATTTATACATTAATGTTTTTTTTTTAGGATAAGTTTTGAATTGCCCTGTATAATATCAGTTAGTAATATTAAATATTTACGTCATTTAAAAATTACCTACAAGAAATTTATCACAGATTGCTTGGGTATGTTCTTATATCATATTTCATGTAGTAAGTATACAAGCATTAATAAACCTAATGTCAGCAATAATTATTTGTACCTAGGTGTTGTTGCAGATATATTTATACTAATCCACAAACCATAAAATGAAAGAGTATACATCCTCTACTAATCTACGTGCAAGGTACTGACATAAGTGAAATTTTTATAGGTGCGTTTCATCCGAGATCGCTCTGGACCCAACTAATACTGTCCGCTTTGTCTCTATTCTAATCTTAGAATCCCTGTTTCGGGAACAATGCTGGGAAGATTTAAAAAGAGGGTGTACGAGAGTAATAACTTACCAGCCCATTGTGAAGTGTGTCACTAGAACAACGGAGTTCTCATCTCTCGTCGAGTGCTTAACTTGAACACACACAACCTTCATGTCTAGTCCAGTAGAATTGGTTATCCTGAGGGTGGAATTCCTGTGATGGAAATTGTAAGTTGCGAAATAATCCAAAGTATGCCAGTGATTATAATTTGCCACCCAGAAAGGGAAACGACATTTGTTCAAGGAGGAAGCTGAAAAGGAAGCGGACATTAGTATAAAGAAAAATACAGGGGAAGCTATTTTTCACAGGTTTTAACATCGAAAGAAAGTTGTGTGGCAATCGTTCAATCCTCTAAGTCGAATACAGCGCCGATATGTTTTCTTAGAGCAAAGAATATACAGAGTGTAACAGCGACATTGTGATAAAACTTCAGAGGTGGTAAAAAAGGATAACATTCCTCTTAAAATGGTTTCTAAGGGTTTCTTGATCCTCAAAGATTGGGTGTAAAATACGGTTTTTGGTTAATTACTCCAGAAACATAGAATGAATACTAATCAAATAATAGAACATAATCAGGCAAAGTGTACATTATAAAACAATCAGTGTGAATGAAAGCAATAGATGTACGGAGTGAATCCACTGAGTGAAATTATTGAATACATTTTCACTTTGATAATTTTACTCATTTGTGATATTTGACTGAATACTTTCACTCAAACATAGGTAGGTGCCCGTTAAATAGTGTGCTTTTGTAGTTAAATTGGAGTAAATGCCCTCATTATTGAGTGAACCCACCCCATTCTAGAGTTGTTGTGCGTTGCCTTTGTCTATTTCCATCAACCCCATTAGGTCATCTTGTGGCGTGGTGTATGGCGTCTAGTGCTGCACAAGTGTCCGTTAACGGTGAACATTATGTTTAAATGTTATGAATTGATTACAATAAAATTAAAGACAGTAAGGCTCTCGATTAATATTTGGTGAAATAAACGCATAGTTAAATTGTTACCTATACTTACTTATGTATCTGTAACGTACAATATAGGTTATGGCAATCTATGCGTTTGATCAATTAACCAATTCCTTTAATCGAGACCTAAAATATTGTCTCTAAAACAGATCTCTATAGAAACCACTATGGCAGCTTAGTGTTTATGACTTTTTAATAGTGCAAAACCACTCCAGATATTAATGAAATGGAAGCAGCAACGGCGGCTGGTATGGTGGGGGGCCGCCCCAGTGGGAAATTTTCATAGTGCAAAATTACTCAATAATAGTTAAATTTAAAAATCATATTAAAGAAAAAGTCAAGTTTTAATAATTGGTTTTACATACTCTGAACAGAGTCAAAAGTCATTCACTTGATAGTTAGCAGAAACTCGGATTTGAGTAAAATTCACTCACTTCTGTTTCACTCACAAAATTTTAGTTGTACTCATGCCAATAATGTGGAAATTTCACTCAATTGGGTGTGGGTAGAAATTGATACATAATTGAGTAAAATTGATTGAATTTGTGTGAATTTTTTTTACAATGCACTGCAGTGCATTGTAAAAAAATAATATTCTTCTAGTTGATTGTAAGTAATTTCAATAGGGTTAGAGGGTAATCAGTTACTAATGGGCCAAACGTCTTCAATAGATTCTACTATGACAATTATGAGGGTAGTTCTAACAAAATTATGTCGAAAAATCCTTCGATTCCGAGTTGCAGAGTATTGAAGTTGATAAAAATTAAAATTATTTTTCAGACAAATTTTGGATGCCCATTTAGCAAATTTTTTTCTTATTTGGCATGGAACGCAATCTTTATCGTTAAGTATAATTTCATGGAATACAAAAAAAAAACAGTGACATAAATAATAACATAACAAATAGCATATCTTGCTTTAAATTCCTGAAAAAATTGATTTAATTTATTTATTACAGTTATCAATTACGGAGAGCTACATATTTGAGGGGTATTTTGAGTCTAATAAAACCACTTTGTTGATTTCGTACCTGAATTAAATATTTTTAGGACGTTTATTACCTTACCTCTATTCGAAAGCCAACACCTACTGAGATGTAGGCTCCTAAGTGTTGTTTCACAGAGCTACTATCACAGACCTATATTTAAGTAGGCACAAACCATTTAATAAATAAGTTGAACTGATTTATAAAAAATATTTGAGATGCTTTAGCAAAAAAGATTTAGTTAGATTAGAATACCTCTAAATACTCGATAAGTAGTATAAAATTGAAATTCAGTTTTCTCAGAAACTATGCATTTTTATGGTATACAACAAGTACATCTTTTACACTTACATTTCATTAAAATTTTTAAATGAAATACTGTTTCTGCTTTACACAGTGGGGTAACATTTATTTATTTTAAAAGTACCCGTGAATTAGGTTTGTGCGTCATTGGTTTCTTGTATTTACATAAAATTACATCTAATACAATCCATACAATATTTTTTGAGATAGAATTCCAAAAAAACCGAATCAACGAATAAAGTTCCGTTATCGAAACTAATGTAACAATTTACCGCAGCAGGGCGTGCTTTGAAAATTTCCGCCAATGTCTTTCTACCCCGGGTGTCGAATGCGGTTAATTCCAGGAAAGTGACGCAAGGGTCTTCTTGGAATTCTCTCAACAAATATTGTACGGACTGTAATGGAGGTCCACATTAGTAGTCCCCATGTCAAATTCGAAAGAAATTGCTTAACATGTTTTCGAGATATGCCCGAAAATAGTTATAATTTATTCACCTTCTACACCATGTATCTCGGAAACGAATTTTTTCCGACAAAATTTTATTTGATCTATTCTTGACTCTCATAGTAGAATATGTTGATGACCTTTGGCCCATTAGTAACCAAACACCCTGTATGTCCGTCTTTAATTCAAATATATGTAGGTACATGTGGAAACTATAAGTAATTTTGATTTTCACTTAAGCTCAGCTATTAATAATATCCTACTTATTTCTAGTATAGTCATGGTTTTTGGATCTTTAACTGTGAACGGTATACTCTACGAAACAAAAAAGACTTAAAAGCACAAAAACGATGTAAAATTATAGATTCAAAAATGTAAAAAAATATTGCTTCCAACGTCAATTAAGATTTTTCCCCCAGACCTCTCATAATTCCGACACCAGTAGCTTTTGCTGCAAATACATAAAGGTAAGCTTGCCAAACACGTGACGAGTGAACAAGTTACGCTAGGGTGGAAAGTGCAAAGGTACTTGAACTATCCACGGCGCGCGGCGTATTGGTTTCAAGATTTCTAGAATAGAAGCCTTGCATTGGACGGAGCTATTTCATCTGTCACGTTACATTTGACAAGTTATACTAATTGTAATTAAAACTACACTATATCAAATTTAAGTCTTGAGCAATCATAAATAGTGTACCAATCTTTGAAGGATATGAGAGTCCTTAGGGATCATTTTAGCAAATAATGTTACTCTTGTTTATCTTTTCCAGACGAATCATTCCTCATATTTCAGGACCATATTTCGACTTTTCGAACATATCAAAGAGTAAACTACGATGAAATCAGTACATGTACCTATATAATTAATTTTACGTGATCTACGCCTAGCTACAATCTGTATTACAACGCTATGAGAGCTTTGAGAAGTAATTAGAATAATTTTTTGAAATTAAGAGCAAATTTGTTGAAATACAGAAAATGGAGAATATATATATATTATTGTTGTTTTATATTAACTTTGTACAATAAAAGAAGGAAAGGAATAAAAGTCATGCGACACATTACTGTAGGTGCATTTTCAGTTGCATAAGATGATCGAGTTAAATTTAATATTCAATGTACTCTGAAAATGCGAGAAGCTTTAATATATAATTCTTGCAATTGACATGTCACTGGGAGATCTTCTGTGTGTTCGATTATACCTAATGAAAGTATCGATAAGTTGTTCAGCAAGCAATATTCAACATGAAATAAATTTTATAGTAGTGTTCATCACAATTACGATAAAATATGTTTCTCCTACAATGTGTAAATATTTCAGAAAATATCATTTACTATTTTTAAAATATATCTACTTTTAACATATTGTTAACATTTATTATTATTTATAAAGTAATAGGAGTGCATTTTTTAAATTTTAATAAAGTTGGAATGTTTTCATATTACAACGTAACACTGTCTTTTTTAACAATTAAATACCAATGATATTAAAAATTTCCCTAAAATACTTTAATATGTTCAACATTCGTGGCTGAATTCCTATAGGCAAAAATGTTTATTATTAAGTGTTTTAGAACGTTATTTCTGCAGTTTAACTAAAAATTCATTGATTGATTGAAAAAAGGAGTATCTAATTTAGTACAATATAATTCTTTCTAGTTTCCCTTTTGAAGTAATTAAAATAATTAATTAAAGTAAGACAAATATTAATTATTAATTTTACCAACAATTTTAGTGTATCGTTGTTTTAGAACATTTTACGATCTTGTCTATCAAGTTGATTCTTTCTTGTGTTGGTAGGACTTAGTTCGTGTTTAGCAAGCGAATGAGAAATACTTATTCAGTGTTTTTGAAGATTGTCTGAAATTTTGTGTTAAAAACTGAATTAATTGTAGCGAAGCACTCATAATGTTAAAAAGAAGGCCTTTGGCGACGATAATATGTCACAACCACTAGTTTACCAATGGTATATACGTTTTTGGGAAGGCCGAGAAGACATCGAAGACGATGATCCACCAATGATGAAAACCGAAATAACACGTCAAATCCAGTCAAACGTGAAGGTCCTTTTAACCATTTTGTTCAACTACAATGGAATAATTCATCACGAATTGTTACTGCACCGTTGTACAGTTAACAAGGAGTACTACCTACAAGTTTTGCGCAATTTACGTGAGACAATAAAGAGAAAACGACCCGAACTCTGGAACGACAACTCGTGGGTTTTGCCCTACGATAACGCGACATTTTCCTATTTCGTAAACTCAAAAAAATACTGAAAAGACAACGTTTTTCAACAATAGATTAGATAAAGGCAAAATTGCAAACCGTGCTCAAAACGACGTTCCACCAGTGTTTCTCAAACTGAAAACTACGTTGGCATGAGTGGGACAGGGGACTACTTTGAAGGGGACGATATAAAAATTGAAGATTTAATAAATACCTTCCGAGAAAATGAACAATTCTCGTTGCTTTTTGATCAAACCTCGTATTTTTTACAACTACAATATTTGTATAGAATAATATCTTTTAAAATAACTAAATCCATTT